ATTTACACGTGTATGGAACTGATGGGAATAAACAATAAACATTTCAATTATGACCGGTGTTTCAATGGCGTAAACGTATATGGGTAACGTTCCCCGAGTAGAGTGGGCGTTGCTTGCAGCAACAGGAAATGCATGCTGATCATCTTCCTTTGTATTTCTCTTCTTCAAAATGTCAGTAAACTTTAAAACGTATGCAGTAACTCTATAAAGTCTCTGGACATCACTGAAATTCTCACAATGCATAATTTGGCTGATAATGATAGGATTTTTGCTCGTTGCTAGCAAAGAAACCGTTCCAAAGTTATTCACAAAAGTTTTCTTATCACGAATGTTCATTTCGTCCAAACATTCAGAAACATCACATTGAGTATCAAAAATCAGATTTTGCACTAACCATGAAGGTTCTTCTTTCCATGTCAAATTGGTAACCAAATGAAATGGAGACATACCTCGTGATAAAATATCAGCAGGGTTGGTTTTCCCTTTACAGTACCTAAAACTAGCAGCCGGTATTAAAGTTCTGATTTCACTAACACGATTTTGCACAAACTGTTTCCATTCACGATGTTCCTGTGTTATCCAATACATTGCAACCTTAGAATCAGTCCAACAATATTTGTCATCAATGTTTATCTCTAGAGATAAGGCTCCTTCAACACTGGCTAATAATCTTGCTAACACAAGGGCTGATAAAAGTTCAAGTCTCGGAATAGTTAATTGCGTAATTGGCGCCACTCTGGTTTTGGAAACAATATACCTAGAATAAATACCTTCAGTTGTCTGTACACGTAGGTATATCACGGCACCATAACTTTGATTGAAGCATCACAAAAACCATGTAAACTACAGTTAATTATCGTTCCTGAAATGTCACTAAAAACACATCTTGGAAGGCAAAAAACACATTTTACGGATAAAGTTCTAATTAGTTTCTCCCAATTGTCTAGAATTGAACCACGGTTAGGTTCGCACCAATCAATACCTAATTTGCAGAGTTTTTAGAAAATAAGTTTAAATTGAATAGTGACAGGCGAAATGTATCCTAAAGGATCGAATATTTTGGCAGCTAAACTTACAATGTTCCGTTTGGTTGGCGAACAATCTTTGGCTAAATTATACAGTTTTTCCAAATCAAAATTTAACAAATCTTGGTTGTAGTTCCAGTGGATTCCCAATATTTTCTGCTCAAACTCATTGATTCTGAACAGCCAACGTTGATCTTGGCAAAGGTCGTGTCATCATTGGTTATACCATGCGGTTCATTCTCTTGCGATTCTGGGGGCCTTTAATTGTCAGCAATAAGTTGACGTAGCTCATCTGAGTTCCTGAGGTTAAAAAATGCTCCAGACAAGAGTCTTGATTTTGCCTTTTTGTAAAATTCGTAGGCTTCTTGAACTGAATCACTACCACTACTGAGGTCATCTACATAAATTGATGTCAAAAATTTATCAACAAAGTCCTTATCAGTTTTTAAATACTGCTCTATGTGGTATTTGATTGTGGCATTCAGCATAAACGGACTTGAAGTCACACCAAACGGTACTCTTGCAAACCTCAATACCATCTCTTGAAATTCACCTCCGTCGATGTCTTGTACCCATAAAAATCGTAAAACATCACGGTTTGCTTCAGGTATACCAACCATTAAGAAGGCTTGCTCAATATCACCAGTTAGTGCTATCTTGTGGATTCTGAAACGAAGGAGTATGTCCAGGATTTTGTGTGATAATGGCGGTCCGGCCAGCAAAAAATCATTCAACGATGGACCCCTGGATCGGGATGATGCGTCATATACAATTCTGAGTTTGGTTGTTTTCTTATCATTACGAACAACTGCATCGTGAGGAATGTAATGTGTTCTCCCAATTCCGGACGTGTGAGGTTCATCCACCCTCTCCAATATACCCTTATCCAGTTGGTTACGTATGATGTTGTCATACTCTCTAAATACTTCCGGTTGATGGCGTAAACGTCTCAGCAAGTTTTCTAACCGTTTTTGGCTTAAAAAATAGTTGTCTGGTAATACAGGATGAGGATCCTTCCATGGCAAACTAACTTCGTATTTTCCATCCTTAAAACCAACTTTATCGGTAAATTCTTCGTAAATGGACTTGGGCTGTATACCAATGGACTCGAGGTCCCAAAATTTGTCTTCAAGGTTGGTCTTCTCATGGATGTTACTATAATTTTGATCTGTGATACAGGTATCGCATCTTAAAACATGGGTAGTCACGTAATGGCTAATTCCGCTGTTAACAGGTCCTGATAATACCCATCCCAGCTTGGTGTCCATGGCATTAAGATTATTCTCCCCTCTTATCAAACCACCATTTACTAAATTCCAATACTGATCGGAGCCAATCAACAAATCAATTTGAACTTCATCTTCATTCTCCGCATAATCTGCAAATTCATAAAATGGTATGCTAGGAAATGACCTCTTGGCATCGGTCATTGGCTGGTTTCTCAGTGGGTCGCAGATGAACGGTACTACGAAAAAGGTAAGGTCAACAACTCCAATATTGGTCTGTAAACAGAGATACATCATCTACAACTTGTTGGCGTTCTTCATTCGAACCAAATGTTTTGATGATGATCACCTTTTCATCTATCCTCGGAAGATCGAAATACTTGCTAAGGGCCCCTGTAACATAAGATCGCTGACTACCATTATCGAAAATGAGTCTTGCATTTAATCTGGAAGCGTTACTCCTGTGGCTATATATGTTACATCTGGCTGTTTGTAGGATGACAGGCGCTGAAGAGCTGACGTGCAAATTGGTTGCCCTATTTTCAGGCTGGTTGTCGGTGGGCGAGTAGTTGTGAAAATTGGTTGATGAGGAAGTCCTAGTCTGACTGGTTCTGTGATTACTATTGGGTATATTCTGTGTATATGTAGATGATTGGCTACTCCTTTGCTCAAATTTTCCTGGTGGGGGACATAAGCTTATATGGTGTCTTTCCTTACATCGCAAACATTGTTTTTCAGGGTGACAATCAGAGGAAAAATGCCCCTTCTTAGGCAGATAAAACAACGTCGTTCTCTTCTGAGTATATTTTTACCGGCTGCTATATTGGTAACATTATGACAGGCGTTGTTTCTATGGGTGTCCTTACAATAAGTACAGTGTGTGACACCAGTGTTTGACATCAAGGCAGTGGCGGTTGGGTATGATCTGGCGGGTTGTGATCTATTGGAAAAAGTATCTGACCTTATTTGTGACGTGTTCAATTTTGTGGTTGCTCCACCATTTATTCTTTCTCTGGCTTCTAGCTCTGATCCCAAGCTTTCTAAGAGTTTATCCAATTCTCATGAATTATCTCCTACCTCTCTACTAATAATGATCTTCAGATCTGGCGGGAGTTTCTCCATTAAAACAGGTGCAAGTATACTACCATAGCTCTCTGGATGAACACCAATGGCCTTTAAACCTCTCACATTACTTTCTACTATATCGAATAGCTGCCTTAATCCATAAATATCTTTATCAGAACTGACACTTCTTACATTCATCATAAGCTCCATTTGTCTGTTTATTATCAGTTGTCTGTTCCCAAATCGTCGTTTAAGAATATCTATTGCCTCATCATAGTTAGCAGCTGTAAACCAGAAATGGAATAATATGCATGACCAGTTAATAATGATTGTAAGTAGTTGAATTTATCAATTGGAGACAAAGATTGGTTGTTTTGAATGGCGGCTTCGAATGAGTCCCAAAAGGTATTCCATAGAGCCAATTCTCCTGAGAATTTCTTCAGTTCCAGTTTTGGCAATTTAAGGTTCGACTTCTTGGAGCTTGGAGGATCATGCTGCTGTGAATGGGGCGTTGATGGTTCAGATGAGCTGTCTTGTGCCAAGGAATCTGATACTGGGTTGTTAGTGTTTGGGGGTGCTCTTGTAAGGGCTAATTCAATTTTTAAAATTACCAATGAAAGAGTCTCTTGTAAAATATCACTTTGCTCCACTTCATCATTAATATCATTTTCCTCAGTGAACAGTAAAATTTCTTCATCAAATTTTTTCAAAGTCAATTTTTTCTCAATAACAGCTTGTTTTACCTGAATTAATCTCAGTTTCAGTTCTTCTTGTCCAGCAAATGTATCAAGTAACTCCTGTGCTGACGATATCAACCGTTTGGATGAAGAGCGGTGTCCACCGCGTGCTTGTCTCATCTTCTTCCTGGTGGCTTCGTCACTCATTTTCGACGTTTAAACAATGGCAGAAAAAACTGTAACGAATGGCGTAAAATGAAAATGAAAGTTCAACAATCTTCATAGATTATCACATTTACAACTGGTTTCGGGATCCTATATTCATTTACTAGTGAAGAAGTTTGCACTCCAATCTGGTGCATCCGTCTCGTCGAACCATGTCAACGAGTTCCAATTGGCTCGCTGCGTATCATGGCGATGTTTAGGCTCTGACTGTATGTACATGGAAAGGACATTCTTCTGCTTCTTTTAGGGGGTGGTTCATTGGCTCAGACTCATGGCAGAGGGTTCTATCTGTATTATAATTACCCACAGTTGAAAACCGGATACAAAACGTCAGTAGTAATTTATATGGCTTTATACAATGGCTTCATGAATATGGAACAAGCACTCTTCAAACATACAATATGAATGACTACAAAAATGAAATGGCGGCGTGGACTGAACAAAAAAAGACAAAACAACTCACTGCAGGTGCATGATTTTGATTGACCGAAATAAATCATGCTCGATTGTCAGGTCTCAAACAATTAGACAAATTGTAGGGCAAACACGTCTCCTTTAATACAGAAGGAGAAATCCGTCTTCGTTCGTCCACTATAATGCTACATTTTTTACAGACTGGAAGGAAATCTCTAGCCAACGTTACTGGTAATTGATTTGATCTCGGAAAGGTTATAAATACCCCTTGACCTACAAGAAACACTTCTCTAATAAACACTCATGATACACTTTGAATATCTAAGTAATATTCTATATGATGATTCAAAGTAATCATTTATCATTCCAGATACTATGGTTCTGGGTTTCTAATCCCAGAGATTGTAGATGGTGCTAATGTTCTTGATTTGGGCTGTGGATCAGGAAGCTTGGTGTTTGTTCTCAGTAAGTTAGTCGGAATTAAAGGACGGGTCACTGGGCATGATTTGACCCCAGCTTTGTTAAGAAATTATTTTATCTTAAAGAAAGATAACTTGCCAGGCAAGATGATATACGACCATCGGCAACAATCACTAGTATGAAATATTCAACCTTACAGTCATACAGTTCTTTTTGACTTGTTTGGTTTTCAATTAGTTTCTTCAGAATGACGACAAATAATTTCGTTTAAATCTTTCACAAATTGTATCCTTTATACCTTGGTTTTCAACCAATCCTTTTTCGGTGGTGTCCCATGAATCAAATTAGCACTCCGAAGAGCCAAATCTTGAAAGATGCAATCAAATCGATTAAATTCGCGGAGAATGTACAACATGATTGTAATATTAATATATTTTCAAAATACACTGAACAATAAACCAAATGCACTGAGCAACTTGATCAGATATCATCCACAGCACTAGTGTGAACGGTCAGGGTCAGGGTTAGCGGAATAGAGAAGCTAGAAATGATTTAAATCAAATCCAAAACGATGAAATAACTTCCTAACATGGAGTGATCATGAACTCTTCCGGGAAGGTGATTTTCTGGGAAAGTGAATCACATGAATATGTGGTCGTATATTGTCGTCGCCCCTGTCCGTCTGTCCGACCGTCAACGTTTCTTGTGAGCACTATAAAGACTACAGTTTTTATCTGATTTTGATAAAACTTGGTGTGATGCTTTAGATTGATAAGATCTCGGTCATGTTCGAATTTGACATATTTTCGATGAACGGTTTTTGAGGTATTGCCCTTGACTTTGTTAAAAAGCGTTAAAAAATAGTTTGTGAGCAGGATTGACGCTACAGTTTTCAACCGATTCTGATGAAACTTAGTGTGATCATTGGAATTGATAAGATCTCGGACAAGTTTTAACGTGATGCATTTTCGATGAACAGTTTTTGAGTTATTGCCCTTTACTTTGTAAAAAACGCGTCAAAAGATGTTTTTTGTCCACGATTAGAGCTGTGTGATTTAATTATTTATTGTATTTGGGTTATTGATATTGATTTTAAAAAAAATTGCGGAATTACTCAGCATAAATAACTCAATATATATGTAATTGAATTCAAACTAATAAAATTTCTTCAATATGACAAAATTCGTACTTTAGTCACTAAAGACTGTTTTATCATTTCTGACAGCTTCCAGAGGGTGTATGTTACCTTGCCTCGCAAGCTATCTTTTCTATAGAATTTTATTAGTTTTGGGAAGGTGTTTTTGTAATAATTCTGGGAAAGTGCATCTCACCCCAGGGTTGAAAACCCAGGGTCTAAACTGTTCACAAGCTAGAAACTAAAGCTTTTGAAAAGGCTTAAGACGGTACAAATCATCGGTATTTTATTATATCGGATAGGTTCCTTTAATGTACCCACGTTACATTTAAATTTAGAGACCACGCATCATCGCCTATTTAAATAGGTCTATGGGTGATTGTTGTCAGTGTCGATCATCTCTCATTCTGCCAAATTTTTTCGGATACACGATTTTTGTAAGGACACGTGGATTAACTTAAAAGAGATTCTTGACCAAAGTTAACTCTTCGAGCTTTGAAATTTAAATCACCAGGGGATCCAACTGTGGAGAGGGCTTTATTTATCAAAGGATACTTAATATCTTTTTAATTTCGTTTATAAACTACCCAATTATAAACTACATACTGCTTTGTTTCAATTCAAAAGAGTAACATAATATTTGTGTTTTTATATTTTAGATATCAGAAGCCGAAAAGTATATAAACTATCATCGTGAGAAATGGGGTTACAATGATACTAACGTCACATTTAAAGTTGGTAATATAGAGAAGTTTGACGATATCTCTCTACCTGAACAATCTCAAGATGTCATTGTGTAAGTATAAAGCTGTTAAGGCAACTATATGAATTTACCACATAGGTGATAGGTTATTTAGATCGAATCGTTTTTATACGTCCACATGTGGTCGTATATTGTCGTCGCCCCTGTCCGTCGGTCCGTCGGTCAACATTTCTTGTGAGCACTATAGAGACTACAGTTTTTATCTGATTTTGATAAAACTTGGTGTGATGCTTTAGATTGATAAGATCTCGGTCAAGTTTGAATTTGACATATTTTCGATGAACGGTTTTTGAGATATTGCCCTTGACTTAGAACGACTTGAAATTTGTTAAAAATTGTTCGTGAGCAGGATTGAAGCTACAGTTTTCAACCGATTCTGATGAAACTTTGTGTGATCATTGGAATTCATAAGATCTCGGACAAGTTCTAACTTGACGCATTTTCGATGAACGGTTTTTGAGTTATTTCCCTTGACTTTGTTAAAACGCGTCGAAATTTGTTAAAAATAGTTCGCGAGCAGGATTGAAGCTGCAGTTTTCAACCGATTCTGATGAAACTTGGTGTGATCATTGAATTGATAAGATCTCGGACAAGTTCTAACTTGACGCATTTTCGATGAACGGTTTTTGAGTTGTTGCCCTTGACTTTGTTAAAACGCGTCGAAATTTGTTACAAATAGTTCGTGAGCAGGATTGAAGCTACAGTTTTCAACCGATTCTGATGAAACTTGGTGTGATCATTGGAATTGATAAGATCTCGGACAAGTTCTAACTTGACGCATTTTCAAAGAACGGTTTTTGAGTTATTGCCCTTGACTTTGTTCAAATGCGTCGAAATTTGTTAAAAATAGTTTGTGAGCAGGATTGACGTTACAGTTTTCAACCGATTCTGATGAAACTTGGTGTGATCATTGGAATTGATAAGATCTCGGACAAGTTCCAACTTGATGCATTTTTGATGAACGGTTTTTGAGTTATTGCCCTTGACTTTGTAAAAACGCGTCAAAATTTGTGAGCAGGATTGAAGCTACAGTTTTCAACCGATTCTGATGAAACTTGGTGTGATCATTGGAATTGATAAGATCTCGGACAAGTTCTAACTTGACGCATTTTCGATGAAATGTTTTTGAGTTATTGCCATTAACTTACGAAAAACGCGTCAAAATGTGTTTGTGAGCATAATAGAAGCTACAGTTTTTAACCAACTTTGATGAAACTTGGTGTGATCATTGGAATTGATAAGATCTCGGACAAGTTCTAACAAGAGATATTTTTGATGAACATTTTTTGAGTTATTGCTCTTGACTTTGTAAACACGCGTCAAAAGTTGTTTTTTGCCCTTGATTAGAGCTGTGTGATTTAATTGTTTGTTGTATTTGGGTTATTGATATTGATTTTAAAAAAAATTGTGGAATTATTCAGCATAAATAATTTCTTCAATATGAGAAAATTCGTACTTTAGTTACTAAAGACTGTTTTATCTTTTCTGACAGCTGCCAGTGGGCGTATGTTACCTTGCATCGCAAGCTATCTTTTTATATTCAGGTCTAATGGAGTGATATGTTTATGTCCCAATAAGAAAAATGTGTTTACAAACGTTTACAGATTGTTAAAGGTGCGTATTCTATTCTTTTGACAATGAAAGCACGCTTTATACGAATAATTTAAAAATAAAATTGTGACTAAACGCGGTTCATACACACATAAATATTTACTCCACCACAGTGACATATAGAGCTGGGTACTTATTATTCAATCCTTGTATTGTTTGTTTTATCAAACAAAGGATATCACTGTGGAAGATAATTTACTTACTAACTGATACCTGTAGTATTGGAAGGTATAACGGAACCCGGTATATCTCTTATCAGTGCATACGACCGTAGTATCGAATCACAAGACTATAGTAACTTTATACAGTTGCCAATGATTTCTATAATATAATTGATTTACTTATTTATAAATAAAAGATGCCTGGTAGGTCCATTGATGAACATATTCTTATGGTAAAGTTTAAGATGTCTTTAACTAGTTCCAACTTCTGTTAAGGATGGTGGTGAATTTTGTTTGAGTGATTTTTATGCTGATAGAGACAGAACAGCTGAGAAATTACATGATCCCAAACTATTTTGTGAGTAAGCTAAACTTGTAAACAGACTATCTGACATACCCTCAAGGGAATAATTTATACAGCCATCACCTGAGGAAAGTAAACTTATATAATCAGATTATTGAAAAACAATAAAACTGAGAAATTTAACAAATAGTTAGCTATCATATTTATAATTTTGCTTTATGTTTTAAGCTCTTGGAACAACTGGTTCAATGAAATGGGACGATGTTGGATTTACTAAGCCATATTTAGTTGATGCTCCTGTGGTTTGCAACAATAAAGAGATTCATGCCGAAGTCGGTACGTTCGTTCATATTTCATGCAAAGCCTACAAATAGACTTGTTAAAGATGGGTTCCCTTATTTTCATTTATGAAAATGGAAATGCTAATACTTATATAAATAGAAAGTAGAGATGTTCGAATGACTTGGAAAAATACCAGTTTGTCTCACATGTCTGATTAATTCATAATTAGCTAAATAAGAAGAGAATTCCTAGGAGTGACCGATCAAGATAGGTCAAAAAGTCTTTTTTTTTTTTGTTTATCCAGACTGTGCATATATGGTCATTTATGATTGGTTAAAACATGGTTAAAAAGAACATAATGATATGATAAAGAATATATTTTAATCCATTAGAAACAACAATTAATCAAATAGTTTGCTCAATTTGACACTAAAAAATAAGGAAACACTTTTTTTACTTTTTTAAGACACGACAAGGCTTGTGTCCATATGCGCTTTTTTTTTACAAAACACCGCGCTCTTCCGACTCTGCGTTAAGGCTTATGTCAACATACGCGTTTTTATGAGCGTATACGCCGCGTTGTACTATGTCCACATGAGCGTAGGCGCACTTGCACAGTGGCATTGAAGTCGAAGCACTTTATATCTACAATTAACGGCGTCAACTTGAAACAAAGGAGTCACGTTTGGAGAATATCACCACATGGCTAGGCAAATATCCTCATATTAGGATAAATGTTTCAAAAATATGCTCACGTTACATTATTATTGCAATTTCATTGGTTAACACCTATTGGGTCACGCCAAGCGGTAACACATGATATAAGGTTATAATCGTATTACAAACTGTGACGTTTTTACAACACGCCTATGTGGTCAAGGTACTATTGAAATACTATTCAGGGTTCCACGCCGTGTCTTACGTGGCGTGAAAATGCCAATGAAAACGCGTATGTGGACACAAGCCTTTATACGTTTATAACCACGAAAGGGGTTAAATTGTTATCGCTTGGCGTGATATAATAGGTGTTAGGCAATGAAATCGCAATCAAAATGTAACCGGAACATATTTTTAAAAAAACGTAACATATTTATATACGTTGTGGGTGTAAAAGGTACGCGTTTCATATCCGCTGTGCCTGTTTACCTGACGTTAAACCCAGCTGCAAACAAAGTTATTAATTGTAGAGGAAGGCAGGTGCGACAGAACGCTATTACAGGGAAATGAAATATTTTTCTGAAACGTATAAAATTTTCTTTTGCAGCAAATGCTGAATTTTTATGTGCTGAATACAGGTTTTTTAAGTTGCCCCAGGGTGCCAAACGATCTGCAGCAGAAGTGACGTACAAGGGTAACATTCAAGGAATTGAAGATGTCTTCCAATGGGATATTAATACAACCTTCAAGGTATTAAAGTCTTTAAATGGCACTTAGAAATATAATAGTAAGTTTAAACCTAACAGATTGCCGGCTCGTGAAGTTACTTCTGTTTATGCGTTGGGAACGCACCATACCAAATTCACAAAACAAGAAGTCATTTGGTAATGAAAAGGTGAAACTCAAAAGGTTCGCCAATGGCTGTGTTTCTGTCTCTGCCAATGGGATATTATCGAGACGGAGATAGGGCTATCGCTGCACATCTGGGTAGGAATATCTGATTACTCGGGAGGTATATTTCCATGAAACCAAATCAGGTACACGGGTAAATTCATTCGAAATGGGTCAAATCGGTGTCAAAAGTCAATATTGTACTTATATAACGTTATGTCTAAATGAACAATTCTTAAAAGAATGGTCTGCAGTAAAGTGTCTAACTTGTGCTTAAAATATTTGTGCCTAAATGACAATGAACCCATGAAGCTATCAACATCTTACACTAGAACACGCATGCCGAAATGTCGTCCCTTAAAATGAATAACAGCAGCATTATTTGGTATAATTTACAGATATTTTCGCTGATATGAGCTAATATTTTCTGTATTGCAGAAATGTGAACCAGTCCAGTAGATTCTGATCTAACCTCTATCTTGGCATTTTCAAGATATAAAGATAGTTTTATTTTTAAAGATACCGACCGAGCAGTCAAAACCCCAAACGTATGTTCTGCCATTTCTATATCTTTCATTATGGTCGGAATTACACAACTCTTGGTTACTTCTACATTGTTCAAGAAGCTTGCATTTGTTGTTGGAACAAAAGTTCATTTCTATGTTTATGGTCGTTTTCTGTCATAAAAGTATGATACTGTCTATAGCACGGAACACATGTCTCAGAACAGTTCGTGATATAAACTTTAAGTCGTACGGACGATCAGTGAGGGTAAGATATGTAGTTACCCCATGTGAAATGTGAAACCAAGTTTCTACACAAGATATTACTACTACTACTTTCATATGAAAAGCTCACTGATCTGTTAAAAATTTGCCGACTTATACGAAGCTGTTTTGATTAAGTGAACCATGGTATTTGTTAATACAGGGACATGGTTTGAACTTAGGTGGTTGATGGAATCCTCCTAAGCGTAAAATATGTTTGGTATCACCTATTATTATCTACCAGACAATGCATCTCCTAAATTAATCGCGTTGGGTAATACAAAGTAGTGTATGCATAACAGCATTGTAATTCATTATTTATCCATATAACATCTTTTACAGATGCAGAATCCATTCGCTTATTTGGATGATCTGAGAAAACAAGGACATCAATTGACACCTGTTTACAAAGTTTAAACTTCAAAACTAACACCCTTTCCACTTCCTCCTTTTTTGAATGTCTTTCTTATAATATATCTATCATCGTTTGTGTTTATACTTTACATAGATGGTTTAAATAACATCTCTTTTATCATTGATTTGCTCATCAGCAACCTTTTACTAATACAATTTATGAAAGTGTCCAACATATCAAGAAGATGAATAAAACTAGGATTTCGAGAGTAATTACTAATTAATTGATTCAATTCCGTCTAGCACAGTTGAACGAAAACCTTTTGAATCCAAAATTTCGACATGTGGAATCCCAAATTTCTATTGGTGGAATCCAAAATTTCGACTTGTGTGCCTTTATGATCTTCCCTTTAATTATTGTACTAGTAACATTATATAACTGCTCTTTTATAAAATTAAAAGCTGTGAAAATATTATTCTAGAATAATAAGTAATTTGCCTTGTTAAATCATGAGCCATGATGCAATAGTGCTGAAACTAATTCATGCATATCCAAATACATGAGAAACCTAATAGGCCGAAGTAAAACTGTGTACATGGTACAAAATTTGACGATACGTAATGGCCGTTACAAAACTTTGAAGTGGTCCGTAGTGGGAAGGGAATTATGTGTATTCCCCGATTCCTTCCACGGTGTTTCTTTTGTGATTCAGTAATTTTGGACTCAAATTACATATTATATTGAGATATATATTACATTTGAATTTGTGGCAAATGTTACTTAAAACCATATAAAACCATCAAGGCATAATTGTAATTGTTTTAAATCATATTTAATTTTGTAATTATTTCATCTGTAAACATATATTTCAAATAATAAACGTATTTCTTATTGTTCACACGGGAATATTTTTCTTGGATGGGACAAGATTGATGTTATCTTAATATTCTTAGAAATATCAAACCAGAGAAATAGCAAAGCAGCTCAGGCTTATGATCAGGGCTAAGAAGTATAGATCTATAAATCCAAGATCATGGCTTGTATCCAAAACCTTAATTGTGTTACTGCTAGATGATGAAGCTTATTTTGCAAATTAAACTGTGGTCACTTCTAGATTCTTGACAAATCATTTGCAAAAAATAATAACTGAATAATGAAGACATTCTGGAATTTACATTTTTGTTCGAATTTAATTCTATGAAATGAATCTAGCTTTATTAGAAAAGGAAAGTAGGGTTTTACAGGAATCTTGTAAATAAATATGACTCAGAACAAGTATGAAAGACTAATCGACACCCCATAAAATACAATAATACAATCATTATCCATTTAGAAATTATTGCTGCCATTGTCATATATTACCTTGATTGACAATCATCATAATTACACTAGTCAATATTTACCTGATTTCATGCCACAATTGCCCTTTACAATACGTAGGCGAAACTAAAAATTCTTTGAGAGAAACAATCAATGGTCATCGTTTCAACATCTCCCATCATCTAGACAAACCTATTGGCAACCATTTCAACTCCATACATCATTCCCACACAGATGAAAGTTGCACCAATTGAAAAAGTCATCTCTGAAGAAGACATGAACCCTAAAAATTCCAGACTATACAGGGAGAGCTTTTGGATGAACCTATTACACCTTCTGGACTAGACATTGTAATGTATTCAAATAAGAACACCGCGAGTTCTATAAGAACACCGTGAGACAATAATAGTCAAAATCCCATTACCAATCGGTCTGCCGTGGTAGCCGGAGACATAGTGTAAATGTAGTATTATCTAGAGAAACTAGAGGAAGCGAGGAATTAGAAAGGAAAATTATAAGTCTAAATAGAGTATGTAAAGGTCTGTGTATTTTTTAGCTAGTGCAAACCTTGCACGACATAACTGCACTTGAACCAGTCAGGTCATTGCTCTGTTGCTATGCACGTCGATGTTGAATTTTATTTATCATTTATTCTTCTTATAAATTGTACTAAATCTGGTCTGTGCAACCTTTACGCCATGGGGACCACATTTGGGGGATGCAAGTAGGCCGTGGGTCACGTAACCAACCATCAATGAATCATGGAAACATGGAATTTTTTTCAAGTCATTTATTCAATAATGTATTTCCATGTGCATTGCAAATAACAGACATATTTGACGTAAAATCACTGTTAAACATTGCACTTATTCAATGATATTTTCGTGATCAATAACTTTGACGTCATACTTTGATACAACAGCGCGGATATATCAAAGTATGACGTCAAAGTGAATCTAACCAATCTAATCGTTCCGTGTTCGAGGTGTCCTAAAGCCTTTTCTCCATATTTTGAAGAACCATGATTATCTAGGCCACTATCTGATATCGGACGTTTTTTTTCGTGAAAATCTTTACGGTTTCCACAGTCTCAAGAGATTTGTTGTGTCAAAAATGACATTATTCGGCTCAATGTATCTCTGCGAAAAAATTTTCAGCAACATTGGATTCATGAAGAGTCATCAACGAACCGCATTGACAGATGCCATGGCACCAGTCCTGAAATAAGTATTCCATGAAATCTAACTTAGAAATCGAATAATTTATTGATAGAACATGATACATTTATATTAAGAAATCTATGCTCCTAGGGTGAATGGACATTGTTCAATGGTTCAAGTCTACCGTGAAAGAGGAAATTGCTAAGATTTTGATTTCTTTTGTAAGCTACAACCAAACGTTTTATGTATACATGGGGAAATTTGTTCTGAAGTTTCGAGTAATGGCGTTTGACTATTATAGAGGCTTTGGTAGCTGTGGAATCAAATGTCGTTATAAAGGGTATTATCTGGTTATCATGTTGAATGTTGAGTCCATTTGGCCTAACAGTCTGCAGTTGATCGATCCAATAACTTTCGCGTTGTAGACGTCTAAGCTTGGGTTTCATGTTAGGTGATGTAGAAACTGTTTCTATAGGCATGATGAGAAGGTCATCAATGGAATGATCGGGAAGGTTGAAGTGATTCGCAATTGGTCTATCCTTGCCATGCACTATATCATAGCGATGGCCATTGAATCGCGTTCGAAGCGCATTTTGAGTCTCGCCAACATATTGTACATCGCATATTTTACAAGAAATTAGGTATATGATATTTTGATCTCCGCAAAAAATTAGGTTATTCATCGCAAACAATTTTCCGTTCTTGTTATTTTTGAAAAAATGGGTAACATGCATGTGTTCGCATATGCGACAAGTAGGACCTCCACAGGGAAATGAACCGAATCCAATAAAAGGTGGAGGGGGTCTTCTTTTCTCAAAATGTCTGAAAGCGTGTCATTCTTAATTTTTCGAAGAAACCTTTTGGAATAACCCCTGTCCCTTAATTTGTCAAAAACTAGTTTCAAAATCAGCCTGTTGGGTGCAAATTCTATGAAATCTTAAAATTTGAGATTTAATTATTCCAGAAAATGTGTGCTTCGGGTGGAACGAGCTTTTGTATAAAAGTTGGTGGGTATCAGTTTCCTTAAAAAATACTTTAATGTCTAATTTTTTAGAAGAAAGAAAGTTGTTGCCTTTGAACACCGTGGTGTCCATGCTGTTTTCACTGATATTTCCTGTCAATTTCACATAAGGGTGGTGGTTGTTTATAATATCGAAATATTCCCAGAAATGTTCGGACCAAATGATAAAAATATCGTCAAGAAACCGCCCATAAAATAAAGGTTTAAACGGTGAGATATTTTCTATCTCCCTCTCCCACTCGGCCAAAAAAATATTCGCATAACTAGGGGCAAATCGTTTGTCCATAGCATTTCCAGATGTTTGTAAATATATTTTTCCATTAAAAAAGAAGTCATTGCGCGTTAAACATAGTTTAAGTAAATCTAAAATCTCTGTATCAGGTCGATCAGAACATGGATATCGAACAAATGCCTTACGGACGGCGTCAAGACCAACATTGTTGTCAATGTTGGTATACATACTGGTTGCGTCCAAAGAAATGAAATACGCGTTTTCGGGAATGTCCAATTTCTTGATTTTTTCAACAAAATCGGTTGTGTCTTTCAGATAAGAAGGGAGTTGGCATGCTAGTGGCAGTAAAAAGTAATCTATGTATTCTGAAACTCGTTATGATTCGCTAGAACAATCAGAATTTGTTTTTATAGAAGACAATTGTCAGTCAAATTTTTTTGGGTTGAAATTTCTAGATAAGAAATGTGTTTCTATTAGTTCTATTTTGAGAATGCTATTCCTATTCTCTTTAAAAATATTGATTTTCTCAGACAGTATTTGTTTGAAACAATAGTCTTTCTTCAACATCTCTCCCAACATTACATATCTCTGTCATTTTTTATCTTAAAAGTCAAGCTTAATATTAGGTGATAAAAATTGACGATATCACGTGATTTTCAATCAAGACCTTTCTAGTGAATATTTTATGAGTGGAGAGAACTGTTTTCATATGAAAAAAAAATTCAGATCTTTCAATTGCTTAAAATTCGTCGCCTCATAAGAATCTTTTTTGAGTAATACTCATAATTGCTTTGGGTATACCAAGATGTTTTCGTGTATTGTTTTTTTTTTTTTGTCTTTATCATTTGTCCATATAACAAAAGTTCCGTTTCTTTTTTTTATAGATGCAGAATCCATTCGCTTATTTGCATGACGTAAGAAAAAGAAAACAAGGACATCAATTGACACCTGTTTACAAAGTTAAAATTTCAAAACTAACACCCTTTCCACTTATTTTTTGTTTTGAATGTACATACCTATTTTATGTGCTTGATTTATGTAACATCTGTATTATTGAGGACTTCGCATTCTTTTATAAGAAACGTTTATACCATATATTTATTTTAAGAGTAATTTGAGTAAGAAACTTGACCTCATTGGGAGCCTTAATGGAGACTCTGCAAGCTGATATAGATTTTCCCTGATGAACTTGGGACAGCTCTTTTCGAAAGAGCATAAGGATAAATTTTTCCGATTATTAATGCCCGTGTGGTTCAGGGTTATATGAAATTCATATGTGCGTGTTCTGAAATATTTATTTCTTTCCGAAATTTCATAGTTGAATTATAATTTTTCTCATGTATTGATCCCATGATTTTGTTTTCATATTCGGAATGTACTCTTTATCCTCTTTTCACAATATGTTACATGCATGGTCTATTACAATATCTAATTTGTTATATAGATTAAGTGAGATAAATTTTGATTGGTAAGATATTTGGAAGATCTTCACATGTTATTAGATGTAGATCTAAAAGTAAAGTAAACATACAAACTTTTAGACCAATGATTTTGTTTGAAATCAAAGAGTAATGTTAGGGACAGTTTTGACTATTGTATTTGGGGCCATTTTGACTGGGAGCCAAGTTGACTATAACCTGTTCTACTTCAAACAAATGGAGGCGACAGATTAGACAAAATATTTTAGGTTCTGTTAAGAAAAAATTTCCTTAGGTGCAAGGGAGGTAACCATAAACCAGCTTTTAATCATAACAAAATCATAAACAGCGACCGCTCATCTTACATTCTCTCATTATATTACAATTTCGTTACGGTACTATTTTCTTAAGATCGAAAGCAAAAATAACAAAACGAAATTGTAATTCAACTTTTATTGGATTGGCTCATCTTCAACATTACTTTACCTTCCTTAACAATGGTTGGGAAGGGTTTCAGCTTATCTGATATCTTGGAGGATGTTGGTCCACTTCTAACATCTTTAATACAATGATCAGTCCGAATGATTTGCTTTGAAACCTTTGAACATTGGGTAGTATAAGGCATATCGTCGCTGAAGTCATCACCTATACATACCTTTCCCGAATTTAAGAATTCGTGTAGTCTAGTTTATGCAAAGCGTGTTACATTTCTTTTCATTTTTCCTTTTCATGTTAGTCCAGTAGTATTAGTAACTTGATAAACCAAATGTTTGCCTCACCGTATTCGAAACCGAATTTTTTTTAACATAAATAAGGATATTTAGCGCTCTGATTTGCAAAAATATCATAACAACTCTTCCATTCTAAGCAAAAACTAAGCATCTTCATCAATAATTAGACTTGCATCTTTCTGTCATAAAGTCTTTATTAGTGTACCAGCAAATCTATCTTCTGTAATGATCTTCCTGATATAGATTGAACTACGTGTTGCTTATGGTGAAAGTTTTCCTTCCCACTTTTGGGTCGCTAGTTTTTGAGAATTTTCACCATATTAAAAGCCAAATTTCGCTGAAAATTTGGTATCCGAACAAAGATGAATCATGAGTCCAGGAAGACATTACCGAATATTCGATGTCCCTGTACCCCACGAGGTACCACAAAACATTCGAGGGTTAGGATTTCCCATCCTTTGTACTACTCTACATTAGTTAAGCCCCTCGACTGTATTTTGGTACTGTGTTGGAAAAAGGAACATTGTAGAAAATCAGTCAAAGACTTGATGGAACTAGCTTTGTTTATTTAAGGCGTAGAGCGCTGTGTTTAGAAATGTCCATAATTCATAATCTGTGGATAATTGCAGCTGATGAATCATTCTGAAGGTTTTAGTACTACTAATTAGTAAGAAAAGATCCAACACTTGGGCAAAATTCAGTTATTTAGCAAAGTTAGGTGTTTGGCATTTTCGGTCTATATGTCCTATACAGAGGAAAATCGCCCATATTTCCTAACCTAATTTCTAACCTATGGCAGGTATTTGTAACTTTCACCTTTGTAACTTTTCAAGAAAAATAGTTCGATATTTGAGGAAATCAGATCTCAAATATCTGCCAAAGTTAGGAAATGTCGGCGATTTACCTCTGTATAGGCCATATAGACCGAAAATGGTCTTTTCCTACTAATTAGGCCCCAGGGGCTTGGAAAACATATGGTACTAAAGTTTTAAAAATCAAATACTGAAAACAATGGAAATTCCCAGTATAGTGGACCACTGCACGAAAATTGTTCACATGCAAATAAATATATATCTTCAAAAGTTATAGAGATACAACGCTGATAAAACCACTGCACAAAAAGTATTCACATGCAAACAAATTAATTTATATCTTCTATTATTCTGATATTTGTACATATATACATTTAAATTGGCATTAGCATCATTCTAGAGTTTTTATCTTGCATGATACATTTTTCTGTTGATTATATGTACAGACACATTAAATAAAATATGAATAGTGAATATTAAAAGAGAACAGGTTGATCCTAAATGGTTTGTGGCACCATTCATCTCGTGGAAGATATCTGGAAGGTCTTCACTGGTTATTAGATGTAGATCTAAAAATAAAGAAAGATACAAGCTTTAAGATTCCTGATACTGATTACTGATACTTTTGTATCAATAACTTTTTTATCCATATTTATCCTTCATTCGCTACAAGTTATAATAAAGTTTAAAAATATCTTTAAATCAGACAGGTTCTCCGATGATGCACTAGTACCAGAGTTTGGGAATCGAGGCTTTTCAGATCAAAAAGTTACGTTTAAGTACTGCTAATCTATATCTTTCACAATGCTTATCCTTCACAGCTTTGCCATACCTTTATTTTTGTGGATGAACTAATAAGACTTGGTGATCTTAGCTTTTGTAACAAGGAAGAACCTGATATCACAATGTATCTCAATACGTTAGGTTAGATAACTTTTCAGAATGAACCTACATAAGATTAAAGTCTGACCATTTGATTTATAGGACGGTAGAGAAGATCTGGAATATATTGAACTATTCAGTCGTCACTTTTGTAAACCTAAGCTTCCTTTAAGTGCTCATTGCCTTTATAATTCTTCAACAGATGGAATGTGAGTTATGTAATGTCAATGTTTATTTTGACATACCATGTCCTGCTGAACCGATTGATCTTATGGATTTCACAGCATCTTTTGTTGTGTCTTTAGCGACTCCTCGCGAAGCATCCCTAATGATATAAGTTGTATAGCCTAAAATAAACAAGAATTAAGTAAAACTAATATCAAATAATGAAGAGACTGTAATGGAAAGTTGGCGTCTTGAACTTCCTCGTGTCTGATATTCATGAAGTTATCGTAATTAGCCTCGTAATTACGAACTCTTAAGCAAAATGAGTCTGCTTTCGACATTAGACCTTTAAGCGCTCATGTTGTGTCGTGGGTTTCGGACTATATGCGAATGGAAAGTCAAATTTCCCTGTGGTAACTCACCTAATTGGACAGCATCTAAAGCTGTATAATAAACACAATAATCCAAGGCTAAACCAGTTATAAATACCGTAGTTATGTTATTCTTTCTCAACAGTTCATTTAATTCAGTTTGAGTAATGTTACCATTATCATTAAACGCAGAATATGCATCAATCTAAATTAAAATGACGCCATGTTAATACATGAAGATTGAACCTGAAAGCAAGTAGACTATCAACGACTCTCAACCACTGCTACGGACTTCTAGCTGAATCTTGTGAATAGCTTGGGAAATTTTTTCAGTTTCAAGATAGAGCTTATCCTGAAAAGCATATTCACAATGTCAAGCTATAACGGCTTCTATACCTTTCTTGTATTGCAGAAGTAAATGCAGCAATTTTTTTTGATTGTACGGTAACTAAATCGAGTCAGGGCTACCTCATACGTCAGTACGTCAGTGAGTTCGTCACTCCGTCAATGAGTTCGCCACTCCGTCAATGAGTTCGTCACTACGTCAGTGAGTTCGCCACTCCGTCACTGGAGTCCATCAATACGTCGATGCTACCTTACAATTTTATAACTTTTGTTTCTAATAAGTTCTTAAACGAAAAACAACATTTGACGGAGTATTTAAATCAAATCGTCTATAGAACATGTCAAAAACTAAAAAAAAAATTTTCGTACAAATTGGGGTATATCTAATTTCCATCAGTAAACGAAAATAAGATACAAGCTAATGACTTCGATTTTTCGTGTTTTTAAAGCATCGTAACTCGTTTCTATTATTGTATGAACCTATATCAACATTCTTGCAGGATATCGATCTCAATTTGCTTATGGGTCGTGCAAGTGAAATATCTTGTATGTAGGCTATACAAAAAGGCCAGAATTTTAACAATTCTTGGTATGTTTACGTATAATCTTGTGTACATCGTTTAATATGATTTTTTTGTGAACGATTTTTGAGTTAATTGATTTTGATCTATCCAAAATAAACGAATTTGGCATGTGAATACGAACGAGGCTGCAGTTGAAACCTGATCTTGAGGGGCGTTTTATTACTTTACCATCTGAAAGTTTCTTATATATTATTTTCAGTTTTTGCGATGGTTTAAAGGGAATTACATGAACCGCAGACGTCCTTTTGAAAATTGGAATGGTGAAATTGATCCTTTCAGTGCTCCTAATACATATGTGAAGTTAAAAAAAAAACTTTGGACAATCTCTTTAATATGGAACAAATGATGTGAAAAAATTTGTAGTCATAATCATATTGCATTTTTAATGAAAAAAGACGTTAAACTCCAACACTTGAATTGTTGCTTCTGAATGCGTTAGACAATATTTACATTATGCATTTGTAAGTAACAAGCCATATTGAAATGTGCTGTGATATCAATGGAGATATTATATTATTGTTTTAAAAACAGAAGAATACATGAGATTAAAGCTGCTGTTTTGTAAGTGTAGCCTATAGCCATCACTCGTTTGCCATGCTTATGATAACTGTGAAAATATATATTTTTTCAAAAACTTGTAATATTTTATGTCGAATTCTGGTATTCTTTTATTTTTAATAAAACAAATAATAAGAAAACTGTTTTGTCTTCTAATAGTGCCATAAAATTTTTTTTATTATACTTTCACTATACCAAAATCGCGATAGATTTTTTCACCGCTTTCCTAGATTCCTTGAACATTTTCTTTTTTTTTTTTCAATCTGTCGTTAGTCCGTCAATCATTGCAGTGACATAGTGGCGAATTCATTGGCATAGTGGCGAACTCATTGACGGAGTGGACAATTCACTGCATGACGTAGTGGTGAACTCATTGACGGAGTGGCGAACTCAATGACTTAGTGGCGAACCCATTGATGGAGTGGTGAACTCATATATGTTGTTAAGTATGAAGCAATCCAGGGCTGAATACCTAATTTATTGGCATTCAGTTTTAGCATTCCTTTAGGTTGAATTGAAAGCCCCCGGACTTTATTGATATCTGTCATTGGAGCCAGTCCATGAATACCTCTTCCATCTCTCTGCTAAGGATTCTGCCACCCCATCAAACGGCCCGTCACTCCGTATGACGGAGTGACGAACTCACTGACGTAGTGGCGAACTCATTGACGTAGTGGCGAACTCACTG